CCCCCCAGTTGCCCTGTGCTAGGAGCTCGTAGTTGGTGGTCTTTCCACGGAAAACCGCCCGTGCTTCCTTCTTTTCCCAAGGAATCTGGGAGCACGGATGGTGGGGGAAAGAATGCGGGTTGGGGGGGGGGGGGGGGGGTGTTCCGGGAGGGGAAGGGAGAGGGTTGATCCACCTTGGACCACGCGTTGACACGTGCATCCATCAGGTGGGGCGCAGCTGGCGACATCAGGTGTAGGCGGATTCTGGGGTTCGCCCACCAGTTGCCCGGTGCCAGGAGCTCGTAGTTGGTGGTCATGCCTCGGAAAACGGCGCGTGATTCCTTCGTCTCCCAGGGAATCTGGGAGAGTAATGGGGGGGGCGGGTTAGAGGCAGGCGACATCAGATCAGGTGCAGGCGTATTCTGGGGTTCGCCCTCCAATTGCCCGGTGCTAGGAGCTCGTAGTTGGTTCTTTTCCCGCGGAAAACCGCCAGTGATTCCTTCTTTTCCCAAGGAATCTGGGAAAACAAATGGTGGGGGGAAGAATGCGGGTTGGGGGGGGGGGGGTGTTCCGGGAGGGGAAGGGAGAGGGTTGATCCACCTTGGACCACGCGTTGACACGTGCATCCATCAGGTGGGGCAAAGCAAGCGACATCAGATGTAGGCGGATTCTGGGGTTCGCTCCCCAGTTGCCCAGTGCTAGGAGCTCGTAGTTGGTGGACTTGCTTCGGAAAACGGCGCGGGCCTCCTTGCGCTCCCAGGGAATCTGGAAAACAGAAGGTGGGGAAAAAACGGGGGGGGGGGGGGGAGAGAGAAGGTGGGGTGTGAGGGGGACGGGAGGGGAGGGGAGAGGGTTGCTCCACCTTGGACCACGCGTTGACGCGTGCATCCATCAGGTGGGGTGCAGCAGGCGACATCAGGTGCTAGGAGCTCGTAGTTGGAGGTCTTCCCTTGGAAAACAGCGCGGGATTCCTTCGTCTCAAAGGGAGTCTGGGAGAGTAGTGGGGGGGACGGTTGTTAGAGGCAGGCGATATCAGGAGCCAGGCGAATGCGAGGGTTCGCCTCCTGGTTACCAGGGGCCAGGAGCCCGTAGTTGGTGGTTTTCCCTCGGAAAACGGCGCGGGATTCCTACTTCGCCCAGGGAATTCGGAGAAAGGGAAGGTGGGGGAAGAAGGGAGGGGGTGGATCCGGGCAGGTGACATCAGACACAGGGTTGTTGATGGTGTCTGCAGTAAACCCTGCGCTTATGAAAGGCAGGTCTCGTCAATCCGGCAACAACTCACAGAAACATCGACACGCACAGAAACGCCCATGCTCTTGAAGGGACGGCCGCCTCTATCAGGCATCAAACTCTCAGAGACACGCACACGCGTGCCTGAGTGGAGAGGTCAGGAGTGTAGGGCCCGGTGGTGTCGAGCGGGTCAGGCACAGGAATGTCAAGCGTGTCCGCTGTAAAGCTTGTGCTCTTGAAGGAAAGGCCGCCCCTATCAGGCATCAAACTCTCAGAGACACGCACACGCGTGCCTGAGTGGAGAGGTCAGGAGTGTAGGGCCCGGTCAGATCCAGAAGGTCAGGCACAGGGATGTCGAGGGTGTCGGCTGTGAAGGCCGTGGTCATAAAGGGCAGGCCGCCTCTATTGGGCCAGTGCGAGCTGTGGAAGGACATGGGGTGGTCGCACGAGTCTCTACCAACAGAGCCCCCCACACGCATACCTGAGTGGAGAGATCAGGCGTGTAGGGCCCAGTGAGGTCGAGCGGGTCGGGCGCGGGGATGTCAAGGGAGTCGGCTGTGAAGCCCGTGCTCATGAAGGGGAGGCCGCCTCTATTGGGCCAGTGCGAGCTGTGGAAGGACATGGGGTGGTCGCACGCACGCACGTGTCTCTACAAACAGATCCCCTCACGTGCATACCTGGGTGGAGAGATCAGGGGGAGTACGGTACGGCCCAGTGAGATCCAGGGGATCACGCACAGGGATGTCAATGGTGTCCGCTGTAAATCCAGTGCTCTTTCGGGAAGGCCACGCCGCCTCTATCGGGCATCAAACTCTCAGAAACACCCACATGCATACCTGACTGGAGAGGTCAGGAGTGTAGGGCCCAGTGAGGTCGAGGGGATCAGGCACGGGGATGTCGATGGTGTCAGCTGTGAAGCCCGTGCTCATGAAGGGAAGTCCGCCCCTTTGGGGCCAGTGCGAGCTGTGGAACGACATGGGGTGGTCGCAGGTGTTGAGGAAGAGCTCGAGGCGAAGGGTGGTCAGGCGGTACTGTGTTACTGCGTCCTGGAACACGTTACACCAGGGGGGAGGAAAGAGGGGGGAGAAGGAAAAGCAGAGGCAGGAGCTGTGGAAGGGCATGGAGTGGTCGCACGTGTTGAGGAACTCGTTGCGAAGGGTGGTAAGGCAGTACTGTGTTACTGCGTCCTGTGGCAGGGGGAGGCATGGGAGCATGGATGGCGAGAGGGGGAGGAAGGAGAGAAGGCAGGAGGTAAAGGTTACTGGCAATTGCGTATCTTACCTGTTGAAAGAGTCTATGAGAGGGGGCTGTTGAAAGCGGTTGACTGGCGTTGACTGACCTGCAGCATCTTTGACTGGCGTTGACTCACATGGAGCATCGTTGACTGGCGTTGACTCACCTGCACCTCTTTGACTGGCGTTGACTCACCTACACCTCTTTGACTGGCGTTGACTCACCTACACCTCTTTGACTGGCGTTGACTCACCTACACCTCTTTGACCGGGTTGACACACCTGCAGCATCTTTGACTGGCGGTGACTCACCTGCAGCATCTTGATCGTTTGGAGGAATCTCCCCAGGCGGTAGTAACGATTCCAGAAGCCACCGTAACGAAAGTACACTTTGCCATCAATCACCTGCCATTAACGAAAATATATGTTGCGCTGAAGAAAAATTCCATATTGTGTTGTTAAGATTAGCATTGTGAAAAGCGAAACTTCAGACAGCACGAGGCTTGGCCGTACCTTGACGTGGCCGGAGCAGGACATGAGGTTCGGTGAAACACTGATGAATTTGAGAGCCTCGGGCGTCACAAAGCCTCGGTGCCCCAAACCAGTGCTGATGTTCTGATCTCAGGGGAATGGCATGCAAGGAGATGGCATGCAACGGGAGAGGGCATGCACGGAGACAGCATGGGGATGGGGAGATGATAAGGGGTGGGATGAAACACGGGAGGAGGAAGCAAAGATTCTGTAAAAGGAGCAAGGGTAAGGAACGTGGAAATGGCATGGCATGGCATGTTATGGCATGGGGTAAGCACTCACCGCAATTGGTCGCCATGGCTCCAGGTATTTGTGAATCAGCTTCACGTACTGTCTGGCTCCTGGCTTCTTCAGAGCCTCCTGTAGCTTGGGGTATTCCGGAATGCGCCCTAACAAATCCCTCTCCGCCGATTTGAATACCCCCGGAGGGAGCTCGCATACTCTCTGCCTTGCTTTGGCTCCTCCTCCCCCCTCCCCCCTATCCCTTCCTTCCCCTCTTCCCTCATCTCCTAGTGCACCTATCTCTCCTTTCAGCTTCTTAATTTCTATCCACAAGTCCAAACCTGCTAGAAGGCCCACTAGAGCCAGCCCCGTTATAAGCACAACTATCGCGGACCCTTGGTCTCTGTTTAAACGCGGACAGCAGGAGCAGACATGCCATCGCGATCTCCCCCCACCACCGTCTCCACCCGCGATATAAGCAGTCCCACTCTTAGAAATAGGGGATTTTGCAGCAGACGCTTTACTAGCAGTCCCGATAACGTTGCGTGTTCCTTGCGTACTGTATGGACTCTTTCCATCAGGGGAAACGCTTGCGTTGCGACCGGACCCGTCGGTATAACCAGGGCTCCGAGCATCTGGGGAACGAGCATTTCGTTCCGCACCTGATTGTGCACTATGCGGATCATGAGAATGTCTATGTCGCGGATGGCCGTGATCTTCCGGTACCGATCGCTCGCTATTGTCGCATGCCAGCCCTGCGAGCTCAGCTGCGTTAGCAGCCGTCGCCTCTGGCCGAGGCAATCCAGTCGTCGTGACCGTCGGATGCGGATGTGATCGACGGTGCGGACCTGCCACGAACTTCTTTCCGAACAACATGCCTCTCCTCAGCACTGAAATAAAGCACAATATTACCGTTACGACACTCGTCGCTCACAGCAGCTTGTGCTAGGACACACAGTCACTGATCACTATGATCCAATGGTCATTCATCCATTGGCTCAGTCCTGTGCACACAGCCATAGATTCTTCCGATGAATTCGGTATAGGTCATACAGGGGCTATCTGGTTCAGGCGACAACTCCAGGCTGGTGGTGGTAGGTGGGGCCCTCTAGATCTCACGGGGTTTGTAATCCAATCTACAAAATTACATGATGATGGATATTTGGCGAAAAAGTCAGGGGCATTTTTCTCAGCTCGAATAGGGTTAACGAATCCTGACGAGAAGAGTATTTTCACGAAGTTTCTCGTTGGACAGCCGTCACCGCGGCTGGCGGTACCTCCCCAGCTGGTTCGTTCGCAGCCACGGAGTTCAACAAACCATGCCAGACCTGGCAGCGATAGGTTCGGACTGACATCAGACTTTCAGACCAGCAGCCTCCCCCCCACATCACAAAACCAGGCCTCGGCTCTCCAAGGCGTGTTTACGACTGTTGCTGGACACTCCGATGTCAGAATCGAGGCTTGTCGATCCCCCAGCTGCTATCTTTCTGGGTTTCAGAAGAGGGGAATTCAGCTGGCGAGCGTCGTTATTGCTCGTCATAGTCACGAGCCTATATTCTCCATAATCATCAGCTTATATGTTGTAGACGAAACTGTCAGCAAGTCAAGCAAATTGTTTGTAACTGAATTATGATCCGGAGGCCGCGTGTTTACTTTGCAACACGCCCTGAAGGACGTGTTCCATAAGTATGTCCCGCTTGCGTAGAATACGGTGGTGTACGGTGTGACACGTTGAGAAGCGGTGATTCACCACTTGGAATGCATTCCTGTTGTATGCCATAGTTGCTTCTACAATTCTATCTGAGCCTCTTGAGTCACGTCTTATCGCAAAGCTACGCTCCTTCGTCGTCGCTGTCAGCTGCTCCCCTGCTGCTCCCCGCTGTCCACGCTTGACGTAGCCGGCCGGCTCTAACAATACGTTCAGGCTGCTGGCTTCGGATTGTGCCGGTCCACCGTTCACTCGGCGGTTTGACGTTCGCACGCCGCTCAGCCGGCGGATTGACGGTTAGGTCCTCTCGGTCTCCGGTTCGTCTTGCTGTTTTCGTCACGACAGGCTCCCGATGAGTCGTAGCGCAAGGAGGAGGCAACCGATGAGTTGGAGTAATTCCTACAGGGGGTGACTTTTGAGTCGACTCACACTTCACTCCAATGAGCTCGAGTACTTTCTACAGGGGGAACTATCACGAGCAAGCATTGATACATCCGATGAGTGTTAATGACTCGCAGGTACTCCTTCCGACAGCGGGAGCCATCATCGCGTTTCGAGACCCCTCAAAGTTCGATGCGAGCTAGTAGGTCACAAGTAGTAGTAGTTCCGACAGCTGGGATCATCACGAGCGAACATCCATTGAGTAGCAAGTAGTACCGTCAGCTGGAGTCATCACGGACAGGCGCTCCCCGCTTTTGTAGGCGCAGCACGGGCCAGGAGCGAAAACGCGGGAAAAATCGGGAACAAGTACGAGATTCCAGAATTCTTCAGCCGTTTTTATATCGCGGAACGTGGCGCGTTCCGATTGGCGCTCCCCGGGTCCTCCTGAGAGCTAGTCATGGCGGGGCTCGTCTGTCCCGTGTGCGAGGGGGTCAACCTGCCGTCGCTCTGCTGCGACTGCGCCAATCGCGTGTAAGTCAGAGAGTGCGGTGGGAAGGGGTGATGAGGAGTTGTGTGGTATTTTAAGAAGGCTAGAAGCTCTTTGAGGCGTCTCAAATTCTGCCATCGCTCTGCCGTGAATGCGACAATCGGGCGTGAGTCTTAGTCAATGGAATTAACCATGGGCCATAGGCATGATTACTCGTTCACCTGCCGTCGCTCTGGTGTGGCTGACTCACCAGAATGTGAATAGTTTTGATGGAAGGAACCATGCGGAGGAAGTAACCATGGTGACATGTGTAACCAGTTCGTTTCTGGGAATTTCATTGATTATGTGTTCCAATCTATCTGTCTGAGAGCTCGCATGGACGAATCATGCTGTTACTTCTGCCATCTCCATCTGCAGCCAGCATGTGCGCCGGCAACACCTGGAACGCCTCCAGCATCGGAGGGACCACCTGAGGAATCACCTGGCGGCTGCACTAGAGGCCCAGGTGCGTAGGTGTCGTGTGCTATGATGCGTCTGTGTGGTGTCTGGTGTTTCTGGCAATAGCACAGACGCAGGGGCTCGTCTTGTGCTATTCATGCAAGGCTATTGTAGCCTTGCATGTGCACTGTTTGGCGAGACACTCGTTCCCCTCCGTTATTTCCCCTGATTTGCCTCCCCCTTCCTGTTGTTCCTTCTTTTTCTATCTTCACTTCCGTCTCCCGCTTTTCGCCTGTCGTCCCTGATCCGCATCTGCTTCGTTACGTCACTTTGCATTTGTAATACCTATCTGCATACCATCAGGGCGTGCAGCATCAATGGCTGTCTGCATTTGTAATACCTATCTGCATACCATCAGGGCGTGCAGCATCAATGGCAGTCTGCATTTGTAATACCTATCTGCATACCATCAGGGCGTGCAGCATCAATGGCAGTCTGCATTTGTAATACCTATCTGCATACCATCAGGGCGTGAAGCATCAATGGCAGGCGCGGGAAAGGGAGGCGAAGGAACGGTGCAAGTGGCTACGGGAATCCGTTGAAAGAGAGCGAGCACAAGTTGCAGAAGGTGGGCGACGGTGGAGTTCACTATCAGAGTACTTCTTATAACGGGGTCTGCTTGAGAGAGAACGTACTCTGTAGGTGCAAGGCAGAGGGTAAGAGGGGTTAGAGAGTTGGCTTGGAATTTGGAAAGCACCTAGACACGCGGTGAAAGCAGAAGGGCGCATTCAGGAACTCAAGTGGCAAAACGTAGAAGAAGAGGAGGGGAGGCAGGCGGAGGAGGAAGAAGGGGGGGAGAGTGGTGTGAGAAAGTGATATGAGGGTGCGGAAGGAAAGTCAGAAACTGGACGATGTGGGTAGACTTGCTTTGTCACTGTGCTGTTGCGTCCATGCTTTGCGTTTTCGAGTCACGCTATTCTTGCATCTTGCCCTCCCCCCGCTTCCCCCACCTCCCCCCCTCCCCCGCCCTTCCCCTCTCCCTTCTCCCCCCCCTCCTCCTCCCCTTCACCCCCCCTCCTTTCCCCCTCGCCCCATAGATAGCATGCGTTTGGAGCAGCTTCGTTTGCAGTGTAACTCCAGACGATCCCTCCTGGCCCATGCCAATACTGTGGTGAGTGAGCGTTGCGAGGTCATTGGTCCATTGGTCTCGCTCCAGACGACCCCTCCTGGCCCATGCCAATACTGTGGTGAGTGAGCCTTGCAAGGTCATTGGTCCATTGGTCTCGCTCCAGACGACCCCTCCTGGCCCATGCCAATACTGTGGTGAGTGAGCCTGCCATTCCTACCAGTCTTGATGCCCTTGATGCCAGCAGCCAGATCCCTTTACTGATGAAGCAACCAAGCTCCCGTTGTCCTTTCCTATCATAGGCATGCCCGTCTACTCTACGCCACGCCTTGCCACGTTGTGCCACGCCAAGCTCAATACAAGCATGGTGCGCCCATGCTTGCAAGGGAGCACATGCTTCTTTGAGGCTTCTTTATATGATCTGAGCATATGCGCACGCGCACTGCTCCCTTGGCGTCTCCCATTCTGTGGCGCCTCAAGGCAAGGAGAAGTTCGACAGGGGAGGCGGCATAACGTTCTCTGTGGGGATGATGTCGCTCGGTTGGCTGCGCTGCGCTCACCCTCGTCGCGAATTTCGGTGTACTGCTTTGTTTGACTTACAACGTCATCTCAATTTGGCAGCGGCAGGCAGCACGCCAAACTTCACGATGAGAGCGAGCGCAGCGTGCGGAGCCACGTTATCCGCACGAAGGATGTAGCCTTCCTGTAGAAAATCTCTGAAAGTCTCCTTCACTTTGTGTCATGCTGGATGGACCGTGAATCCGTGATGGACGAAAACGGGGTCACCCACTTCCGGCCCATCCAGCCCATCCATCCGTCATTCACTTCCGGCTTGCGTTCCGCACGTGTCTCTCGCTCCCACAGCTGGCCAATTGAGGCGCATTTTGATCCAACTTGTAGCATCAATACTTGTCTTCTCTACTTCTTATCGCGTTTACACTTTTTTTTGCTCCCGCAGCTACCCAATTGAGGTGTATTTTGAGTCGACTGGAAAACTCGCTCCATGTTTCCACTGTTGCCTTTGCACGTGTCTTGCTCCCACAGCTGGCCAATCGTAGGGTAGCGCTGTTGCAGACAGGCTCCGCAACAGCCCTTGCCGCTGCAGTGACTGGCGCCGGGGGAGGTAGATTAGGGGCAGGTGGCCCTGGGGCAGGTGGGAACGGTGGTGCAGTGGCAGGAGCAGGGGCAGGGGCAGCAGGTGGAGCAGCATACGGAGTGGCTGCGGCGGGAGTGAGAATGGGAGGGGGGGCGCTGGGAGGCGACTGGGTTAATCTGCATGCCCTTGTGAATCTGCAGGCAAGTATTTTGCATTGGCCCTTCTCGGTTTTTTTTTTTTTTTTTTTTTTGGGGGGGGGGTGGAATTTTATTAAGTCAAACCCTACAAGTTGGAGCGTTGGGAGGTGATTGGGCTAATCTGCGTACTCTGTCGAACCGGTCGTCATTGACATGTCCCTGTTTCCCTGTGGCATTGACAGTCCCTGTTTCCCTGTGTCATTCTTTGTGATTCACCAGGCGAGAGCAGAGGAGTGTGCAGGGAGCGCTGAAGTCAGACCAACCACTCTGCCTGAAACGCACTTGGAGTGCCTTGACAAATGCTGCTCTATTCCCTGTGCTCTCCATGTGTCATTCGTCGTGCTTCACGCCCTGAGAGCAGAGGATTGTGCAGGGAGCTCTGAAGTCAGACCAACAGCGCTGCCTGAAACGGCTCAGAGACGTCTTCCCTCTCAAACAGGTGCGCGCACGTTTTGTTTTGAAGCGTCGCAAAGTTAGTCTTTTTTCACATGAAGTCAGTCAGTTGTTTGAGGCGCCTCAAAAATATTTTTTCACATGAAGTCAGTCAGTTGTTTGAGGCGCCTCAAAGATCGTTTTTCACATGAATCAGTCAGTTGTTTGAGGCGCCTCAAAAATCTTTTTTCACATGAATCAGTCAGTTGTTTTAGGCGCCTCAAAGATATTTTTTCACATGAATCAGACCATCCATCTGGCATCAGCGCTGTGTGAAGCAAGTCAAAGACGTCGTCCCTCTCAAACTGGTGTGCGTTTGTCTTCACTCCCTAGCTTCCAGCCCCAGTTTGAGAGGGACGACCACAAGAGAAACGCACACCAGTATCTCTTCACTCCCTAGCTTCCAGCCCTTTAGGTCGTTCCCACTCAGAGACGACCTCCAGCTCGTCTGGTCCTTCTTGTGCCTTATCTCTTCACTCCCTCCTACCCCTCTCGCCCGCCCTCCCTCCCCTGTGTAGTGATTCGCGCACTTTCTTCCTCCTTGCTTCTTACCCTCTCGTTTTTTGCACTCAATCTGTGCTTTTCGCACTCAACCTGTGCTTAACTGTTTCATTCCGACCACATTTCCCTCACGCCTGGTCTTCCTGCGTTAGACGTCTTTGCACCTTGTGTTTGATCGCTTTGGAGGGGGAAACGCTAGCGCCTGCAAAGGCACAGACCTCGTGTCAAAGGCAGACCTCGTGTCAAAGACGCAGACCTTGATTTCTCCCGCCAGACCTCGTGTTAAAGGCACAGAGACCTCGCTTTCTACCGCCAGACCTCGTGTTAAATGCACAGAGAGCTCGTTTTGTTCCGCCAGCACTACGAGCAACACCCTGCCTCCCCATTGCTCTCCTCCCTCCCTCCCTCCCTCCCTCCCTCCCTCTCTCTTCCCATCCCCATCAGGCGTTTCTCCCCACTACACCGGCTGACTCCACCACCACCCCCACCCCTACCACCACCACCACCACCACCACCACCACCACCACCACCACCACCACCACCACCACCCCCACCACTACAAGCAACTCCCTTCCACCCCATTCCGCTCCTCCCCTCCCCGACCCTGGTTCCTGTCTCTCTATCTGTGGCCTCCGCCTTCCCTCCTCCGATGCCCATATTCCCCTCATCCCACCGTTGGAACTCGCGGCTGCGATAGGGTGAGTGTGTTCCCGCTCCTCCCCTCTCCTCCCCTCCCCTCCCCTCCTCGACCCTGGTTCCTCTCTACCTATCTGTGGCCTCTGCCTTCCCTCCTCGGATGCCCATCTCCAGCTCATCCCGCCCTTGGAGCTTGCTGCCGCCATAGGGTGAGCTACCTGTGCTCCCACCAGCCGTGTCCTCGCCTCTCATCGCCTCTCATCGCCTCTCCTTCCTGGCTCTGAATCCTCTCTCTCTATCTGTGGCCTCCGCCTTCCCTCCTCTGACTCCCATATCCCGATAATCCCGCCCTTGGAGCTCCAAGGAGCCCTGATTATCCCGCCCTTGGAGCTCCAAGGAGCCCTGATTATCCCGCCCTTGGAGCTCCAAGGAGCCCTGATTATCCCGCCCTTGGAGCTCCAAGGAGCCCTGATTATCCCGCCCTTGGAGCTCCAAGGAGCCCTGATTATCCCGCCCTTGGAGCTCCAAGGAGCCCTGATTATCCCGCCCTTGGAGCTCCAAGGAGCCCTGATTATCCCGCCCTTGGAGCTCCAAGGAGCCCTGATAATCCCGCCCTTGGAGCTCCAAGGAGCCCTGATAATCCCGCCCTTGGAGCTCCAAGGAGCCCTGATAATCCCGCCCTTGGAGCTCCAAGGAGCCCTGATAATCCCGCCCTTGGAGCTCCAAGGAGCCCTGATAATCCCGCCCTTGGAGCTCCAAGGAGCCCTGATAATCCCGCCCTTGGAGCTCCAAGGAGCCCTGATAATCCCGCCCTTGGAGCTCGCTGCTGCAATTGGGTGAGTACTTCCCCTCTTCCTCGGCCATCCCATCCCTCTCTCTTTCCTCCTCTTATGCTCACAGCCCGCTCACCTTGGAACTTGCTGCCACGATTGGGTGAGTCTCTCTTCAGTTATTCCTCCAGTGCCCACATTCCCCTCTCCCTTCCCCTCTCCCTTCCCCTCTCCCTTCCCCTCTCCCTTCCCCTCTCACTTCCCCTCTCACTTCCCCTCTCACTTCCCCTCTCACTTCCCCTCTCCCTTCCCCTCTCACTTCCCCTCTCACTTCCCCTCTCACTTCCCCTCTCTCCCCCCTCACTTCCCCTCTCTCCCCTCTCGCTTCCCCTCCCACTTCCCCTCTCTCCCCTCTCACTTCCTCTCTCACTTCCCCTCTCTCCCCTCTCACTTCCCCTCTCACTTCCCCTCTCACTTCCCCTCTCACTTCCCCTCTCACTTCCCCTCACTTCCCCTCTCTCCCCTCTCACTTCCACTCTCACTTCCCCTCTCTCCCCTCTCACTTCCTCTCTCACTTCCCCTCTCTCCCCTCTCACTTCCTCTCTCACTTCCCCTCTCTCCGCTCTCACTTCACCTCTCACCTCCCCCCTTGCAGCTGCCTGGTTCGTCCCCTGGACTGCTCTCCAAGAACATCAAAGTTTCATGCCCGCCCTCCTATCCATCTGCCTTCTCCTGCTCACCTCCCCTCTCAACTCCCCTCTCACGTCCCCTCCCCTCTCTCTCACCTCCCCTCCCCTCTCCCCTCTCACTCCCATCTCCCCTTCCATCTTCCCATCCCCCCTGCAGATGCCTGGTTCGTCTCCTGGACCTGCTCTCCAAGTACCTCTCCTTTCCTCTGCTGCATGTCGCTGCCTTTGCCGTGAGCATGCATTGACTATGTTGACTTGTGTTGACCTGCATTGACTTGCATTGACCTGCTCTCCAAGAACCTCTCCTTCCCTCTGCTGCACACGTCGCTGCCTTTGCTGTGAGCCTGATTACCTTGCACAACATGTGCTGACCTGCATCGACTGGTGTTGACTTGTGTTGACTCGCTCTCCAAGTGCCTCTCCTTCCCTCTGCTGCATGTCGTGCCTTCGCTGTGACTCCTGCTGATTGCATTATCCCGCGTTGACCTGCGTTGACTTGAGTCGACCTGCGTTGACTTGAGTCGACCTTCGTTGACCTGCGTTGGCGTGCACTAACTTCTTCCCTCCCCACACCCCTCCGGGCATCATCATCCAAGGTGTGGCACAGACAGTCCTAGTGAACCCTCACTCCTTCCACTGTTCACTGACATGCATTTGACTCGTGTTGTTCCGTGTTGACCCGTGTCGACTCATGTTGACCCATGTTGACCTGCATCAACGCCCCCCAAACCCCGCCCTCCCTCGAGGCATCCTCATCCAAGGTGTAGCACCGACAGTCCTATTGGACCCTCACCCCCCCCACCCCAACCTGCCGTTTACATGGGTTGACTTGCATTGACTTGTTGACTTCCCGTCACCCCGCCCTCCCTCCAGGCGTCATCCTCCAAGGTGTGGCACCGGCAGTCCTACTGGGCCCTCACTCCTCCCTCCAACCCTAGGTGACACCAATTTCAGTCAACTCCCATATACCCCACGTACCTCCTACCATCACTAGCCCATTTGTGCGCCCCCTTGTTTCAGTGTGCCAGCCGTTCTTTCCGGTGCTCCTCCCCTCACTGCACGCTCATTTTATGCATTCCCCTCTCTACCATGCCCCCTTTTGCAGGGATATCATCTCCTTCTCCCTCACTCCTTCTCACTCACAAGCTCAACCTCCCACTCTCGATCCCTCCTCCCTTTCCCCCTCCTCCCCTCCCTACTCATCCCCTCTCTCCTCACTCAACCTCCCGTCCTCTCCCTCCACCTCCACACACTCCTCTACCTCCACCCTTCCTGGAAGCTTCCTCTCCTCCTCCTTCGCATGTAACTCTCTCTTTGGCTCGTGGGCCGGTATACCACCTTCCCCGCTACAAGACGAAGCAGGCAACCCGATAAATTTCCCCCATGCTGCCGCAGCCAGTCAGCAGCTGCCACCTGGCGAGATCAAGCAGGTTCGGCGCGGGCTGAGGTTGCTTCGGAGGAGTGCTGCCTGCCTTGCTGCTACTCAAGTTGGCGGGTTCGGGATCACCGGACCTGGGAATGAGGCTCGGGGGGGTGGTGATGCTGAGCTGGACGAATTTGCTGAGCTGGCAGTGATGATGTCAGCTGCCACACGGGACTTGCGGTTACCCTTTTTACGGTAAGCTGAGCTCCCCCTTCTTGCTTGCTTCCCATCCATCCCCCCTCCTGTGTTTTGAGTTGACTAAAATCTCCCCGGCACGGTCTTTCTTTCTTACCCTTGCTTTCCTCTTTCTGTCTATCCTGCCTCTCTTCGTCTCTTGTTTTTCACGCATCAGGGTACAGAGGGCCTTTCCTTAGCATGTTTAAGGCACGCAGCTTTTTCTCTCAGTGCCAAAAAACGATCTCCATGTTTTTCCTTTTTATCTCCCTCCCTCCTCTTCTCGTCGTCCCTTTTTTTGCCATCTTTTCATAGGTGACTTTTGAGTCGACTCAAAGTCATATTCTTCGTCTGGCCCCCGCCCTCCCGCTTTCTTTCTCCTTGCAGCAACCAGCCCTCTGACTCTTTCCTTTTTCTCCCACCCACCCCCATCCTTTGCTCGTCCTCCCCACCTTTCCCCTCACCTAATCTCCTTCTTCCTACTACCCCCAACCCAATCCCCTCCCACCCTCGTCCTCCCGACGTTTCCCCCGCATCATCCAGCCCTCTCTCCTGCTGTTCCCATTTTCCCTGCACCCGTTTCTCCCCCCTCCCTTGCCTTCCTTGCAGCAACCAGGCCTCTGACTCGTTCTTTTTCTCCCCCCCATCCTCCTCCTCTGCTCGTCCTCCCGACCTTTCCCCTCGCCATCCGGCCCTCTCTCCTGCTGCTCCCTCTGTTGCTGGTGCTGCTTCTGTCGCTGCTGTTGGTGGTACTGCTGCTAATGGCATTAGTGCTGCTGCATTTGCCACTAGGGCTTCTGCTTCTGGAGAAGAGAGTTGGGGAGGGAGAGGAGGAGGAGGGGAGGGGGGGCAAATGCCTCACGAGAACCTGCTGGGAAACTTCCTTCTGGATGACTACATCAACAAAGCCGCAGCCTTGGTATGTGCTGACAAGAGGGATTTAAAGTTTATTCAAATCTGACTCAAAGTTCAATTACAGTTCATCCTGAGCTGATTTTTTCCCAGCATTGAAGGCTCTTTCTGAACTCGTTTCGTCACCAAGGGAACTGTTTCTGCCTGTTGGTTAACTAGCTTACTTTCTCCCCACTGCCTCCTCACCCACCTCCCCCCTCCTCACCCTCTCTCCCCCCTCCCATTTTCCTCCCTATCCCTCTATTCCCCTTACCCCATTCCGACCTCCCTTTCAAATCCGTCCACCTTTTCCTCCCACCTTCCCCATCTGATTTTGTGGTTTCTCACAACTAGCTCCCGCCACTTAATCTCCCACCTCTCTCCCCCGCTCTCTTCTCTCCCCCCCCCTCCATCTTCCAAGCAGCACGGTCGCAGAATACCCCGTAGAGTCATCTCTGATACAAGCGCAAGCGCCTCTTCATCCCACGCCCACCGTACAGGCGCTCCAATAATCTCCCATTCACTGCCGCGCAACACCTTATCCGATCCAGAAAACATGGACAGTCTAAAGAGGAGACTGCTGGGATCCAGAGGGAAGGGACATGACCAGGGGGAGGAGGGGGGACGAGGGGTGGAGGGAGGGGATGTGAGGGGGAAGAGGGAAGGGAAGGGGGATGAGGGAGGGGAGGAGTGGGCGGTGGTAGATGCGGTCCAGTTGCCACCTCCCCCTTCGGATGCTGAGGCTGTGGAGCATTGGGCTCGCGCCATGATCATTGATGTGACGAGGTGAGGGGAGGGGGTGAGGGGAGGGGGTGAGGGAAGGGGGTGAGGGGAGGGGGTGAGGGGAGGGGGTGAGGGGAGGGGGTGAGGGGAGGGGGTGAGGGGAGGGGGTGAGGGGAGGGGGTGAAGGGCAAGGATGTGATGCGAGGAGGTGGCATGGTGGGGTGTAACGCATGGTATCGGTGTCGTTACCCCCCGTCCAATCACGTCACCCCCCATCCTATCGGTGTCGTTACCGTGTGATGCAGCTGATGCCTAGGCTGTGCGACGTGATTGTTGATGCGAGGTGATGGGAGGGAAGGGGGGTGATAGGACGGGGTGTGGGGAGGGGTCGTGAGAACAGCTGCTGGTCTCGGGAGGGGGCATGACTCATGTGGGCTGGCCAGACAAGAGGGAGGGCCTCGTGGAGGGTGCCGTGTGTATCCGGGCAGCAGGAAGCAGCGGCAGGCGAGGAGATAAAGCATGAGGTGGGGAGGATAGGGCAGAGATGGAGAGGAGGAAGAAACTGACAAATGTGCAACAGCCCCCTTGTTTGAGTGTAAATATGCTGTTTTCATTATAGCTTGCTCGTGTATTCAGCATTTGTTTAGCCATGCATATAGATAGTAGCAATATACTAGAATGGCATGGCTACGAGTTGGTTTTAGTGCAGGTAGCACATCATATATACAATGGAAATCTTGCATGTGTACCAAAATTGCGTATACGGCCTGAGGCAACAATGCGCCAAAGAAAAGTTTCAGTTCTGACGTACCCGAAGCACATTGAGGCTTGGAGTCACCGCGAAACCCTTAGAAATATGGTATTTCTCATTTCCAGTTTGATGTTGTTGGTGCGCTGCGATTGCGGTGCAGTTTGATCCTGTACGTTTTGATGCATTCAATCAAGAATATCAAAAGGATGGGTATGGTAATGGGGGACCTTGGCGAAGCGTCCTGATAAATTATTGCACTTCACTTCAACAAACCGGTCCGAGGGCTGTTATTGGTTCTCCTCTGATTGCGTTCCTTGTTCTCTATCTCCCTCGCAGTCGAACCTTGGGCAATTAGGAGCTCGTCAGTGGGAAGTTCAGCACCTACAAACAGAGTGACAATCATCCCTTCTTCGTAGTCAATCCCAGGATAAGTCGCACGTCTGCCCTCATTTCCAGACGCCCCCAATCTCGTTATCGTTGTCCCAGTCTCTTTCTCCCAGTCTAGCCAGTCTAAACACTGCTACTATGAGGCCGTTCATGAGGATGCATTCGCCTCTTTGGCATAGGATGGTTGCTTTGACTCTCGCCCTTAGCTAGTTGCAGGGATATCGCCTTTCGCTGAAGCACAAGCGATTGCCGATTCTCTAAGTAAGCAGTAATACCTTTGTCATGCCACGCCTTTCCATTCGCTGCTCCGTTTTATTCGCCGCTCCGTTTCTGTTCGCTGAGTCTTGCACACATTTTTCCATCGTCACCAAAAAGTGGGCATCTCAAATCTGTCCCACATGTATGCAGGTCTTAGACCCCCCCCCCAAAAGTCTCCCGACACTATTACAAACCCCCCACCAAAGTGTCCTGGGCATGACCTGCCCCAAAACTGTACAAAACCTGTCCCGATTCAATACAAGGGACCCTGGCACCAGGACACAATCAGGACACAAATTTCAGGTGAACGCAATGTCAAAGCTAGCTATGTAGGAAGAGACGCCATGAATGGCGAGAGGTTTTAGGTGCTAAGAAAATGTCGAGAGAGAAGAGAGTATTGGAATAGAAGAGAGAGGGATACAAGAAGGGGGGTTGTACCCTCTACAGTAGAATTCAGTAATACAAGCCTACCCTCATATATATATCAAATATATAATTCAACACACCCCCTAGGCTTGGTAGCTGAAAGCACACCACACACACAACACACTAAGCCACACACCCCCTAAGCCTAGCACCCCCATACTCAACAGCAACGACTGCTACTCCAGCATGGTCAACCCCTCGGCGCGGGAGGCGGCGATGTCGACAGCGAGGGCAGCAGCTGCAACGGCGGCAGCGTCGACAGCGGCGGCGGCGGCGGCGTGGTCAGCGGCACCAGCTGCGGCGGCGGCGGCTTCAACGACAGTTGCCGGCAGCGGCGGAGCTTGCAGCCCTCGGCGGCGTGGCCGGGCTCCGCGACGGTGGGATGGCAGGCGCGAGTCAGCTGTCGGCTGCGGCGAAGCACATCCAGCTGTGGTACTTCCTGATGTGAGAGTTGCAGCAGCGCGATCAGGTCCGTGTAGTACAGTTGGCCTTAGAGGCCAACACCGCTGATTACTTCACCAAGGCACTTGCATCTTGTGACCATCAACGGTTCTGTACTCAGCTTGGTCTAGCCTCAGTAGCAGCACCTCTCCTTGTATCCTGAATCATACTATACCTGCCTGTACTTGTTGTGTTATACCTGCTTGTCTTGCTACACTTGCTGACTGGCCTTGTGGCCTCTTGTCTCAGTGGTCAGACTAGTAGTACTGCCCTGAGTTTTCTTATTACACTCATCAGAGGTCGGACTAGTAGTGCTGCCCTGGTGTACTTTTCTTGTTAGGAACTGCCACTATCTTGGCTAGGGGGGGTGTGTCAACAAATATAATTGTCTATGCTAGGTACAGTATATTTGTTATAGCCTTAGTTAGGTCAGTTCTTAGAGGGTAGATTTGTTAGAAGGCTAGCTTAGCTAGGAAGCTAGGAAAGGCATGAGGTTTAGCTAGGAGGAGCCATCGAGTGGCGTGAGGTTTAGGAAGGAGGTAGGTGAGAAGTTTATGAGAGAAAAGAGTATCAGAATAGAAGAGAGAGGGATACAAGGAGGGGTGTTGTACCCTCTACAGTAAAGTTCAGTAAGACTACCAAGCCTACAATTATATACGAACATATATAATTTAACAACATTCCCACCTTTGTAAGCCTCATCCTTCCTCCCTTAGTCACTTTTTCCTCTCGACATTCTACCAGTGTCAACTAATACATATCTTTATATGTAGAAGTTATAGGCTAGATAGGATTGTGTTCTTAGAGAGTATGTCTCTAGCCCTTTATCTTCCTTGTACTCTCTTTTTTCCATTATTCTAGTATTCTAACACTAGCTAGGTCAGTCACACTTATATTCTTGTACTTGTATCTCCCTTCCCCCTCTTCCTAGTCACTTTCTCCCGCTACTCTAACAAGAAGCTCCCTACTTTGGCAAGCTAATTTTGCGTAATGCTTCAGAGCTTCAAGGCTTCATGCTGATTGCAAGGGGGATTTGCAAAGCCGTCATGCAAAACCATTTTATTAGATGCCATGATGAGCATTCAACACTTTATAAGGTGCCGTAAATGGCACCAGTAACAAGTGTATGTCTAAGACCCCTTCTTTCTGAGCTGTGAACTTCCCTTTTTAATAACGGGCAAGCCCTTTATAATAAGGGGCTAAGGGAAGAAGGTGATTGTCAAAAGGAGGTTGTTTTGGGGGTGGGGAAATAGAGAAGAGGCAGGGAATCCTGCGAATGTTCGGGAGAAGAGGATGGGAGGATTCTAGCACTTGGTTGGTGCAGGCTTGCAGGAGAAATCCACAGTTGTGGTGCCACTGCACAAGGGAGAGAATGAGAGAATGACAACAAGCCCAGAGGATAGTTAGAAACATCACACACACACACACACACACACACACACACACACACACACACACACACACACACACACACACACACACACACACACACACACACACACACACACACACATACACACACACACACACACACACACACACACACACACACACACACACACACACACACACACACACACACACACACACACACACATACACACACACACACACACACACACACACACACACACACACACACACACACACACACACACAAAACACACAAGAAAGGTTCTGCAGGGTCGTGTCTTACTAGTTGTTCTTGTGGTCGTTGATGGTGCGAGCTCCATCGCCCGAGTATGCCCAGATGATCTTGTTCTTTCCCTTGTAGTTGATCGCCGCTATGCCCTCCCCGTCAGCCTTGCTGCGACCAAACCTGCGAAAGGGGAGAAAATAACTCTATGCTATATGAGGAGGAGAACAAATCCATGTGGTGTTCCGAAATCTGATGATGAAATCTGATGTGTGATGTGCACATGAGCTGGAGTACCACAGAGAGATTGGAGAGAATACGAGAGAGACGCAAGAATTTACACGAGAAAGACACGAGAGCGTGAACAAAAACATCGCAAAGTTAAACACCTGCACCATCATGCTGACACCACCACCATGCTCACACCACCACCATGCCAACGTACTTCATGGTGACGCCACTGGTTGACGTCAGCAGCTCTGGCTGCCCAATTGCAAACCGCGAAGTGACCGCGATTTTACTCGCACTATACCCCGATATAGCGTAACTCGCTACAGGCAACAGGCCTTTCACGTTCCCGATAACTGCGTCAGCAGGGACCATAGAACCGGATCCGGACCAACCCACGGAGAACCACCCTTTCTCTGCTCCACTGCCTGCTTTCGCCTCAACGGCCAGAGCTACACTGGTATCAGAGGTCACTTTCCAATGCAGGAGGAGACTGTAATGGGGACAGGGGAGAAGTGCACATGGAGGGAAGCAGAATGCGTAAGAAGAAAATGTGGTTGTATGGCTCATTTGTTTAGAATCAGCAGACATGATTCGAGGAGCAGTATTAAATTAGCTTACCCTTTGCCGTTTAAGTCCACGTAGCCAGTGTAGCCAGCCAGAGTAGACGCTTTGCAGGAGCTGCTGCTGCTACCGGAGGTGCTTTTACAGGGGGTGCTCACTGGGTTCATCACGGGCGCTCTGGCGCGTAGACGCCGTCACGGCAGCACAACGACGCCGTCACAGCAGCAGGACGACGCCGTCACAGCCGCACGACATGGCCGTGGCGGCGGCGCGGAAAGGACAGGAGCGAGGAGCGGAATGTGCGGAAGCATGAGGAGGCGGCCCAGCAGGGCGGACCTCCCGCTCTGATACCATGTCAAAGCTAGCTAGGTAGGATGAGACGCCATTAATGGCGAGAGGTTTTAGGTACTAGGAAAATGTCGAGAGAGAAGAGAGTATTGGAATCTAAGAGAGAGGGATACAAGAAGGGGGGTTGCACCCTCTACAGTAGAATCCAGTAACACCTACCAAGCCTACCATCATATATATATATACATATATATATATATATATCAAATACATAATTTAACATGCAACAAGGTCCGATCGGACGGTTCACATCCCAACATTTCGGCCAAAATTCAACTGGTCGTCGATTACATTCATTTCATTCTGTGCCGTCAGATCATTTCGAAATTGATAACGCCCCAAAACACAAAAGCATGTATTAACCGTCCGATTAGTTTCGCGACAATTGAACGGTTCACATTCCAATCACTTTCGAGTAACACTAGTTGAGCACACGAAACATGCGCAATTTTGTGTAGCTAGCGAAAATGCCCAACCCATTTCGCCAGCTCATTACAGAGATTATCCACAAACTTACCCCAACCAATTATCAGAAAGAGAATGATTGAACTAGAATGTGTGTGTACAAGGATATATAGACTAGGGTGTTGTACCCTCTAAGGCACTATCCAGTATAGACTACAGTAACGCCCTAAGTTACATTTGACACACCCCCTAGACTATATAGGGGCATTGCCTAACAAGGAAAAAAGCAGCTCAGGGCGGCACTACTAGTCCAGCTCTGAGACAAGGGTCTAAAGACCAGTCAAAAGGAGTACAGACAAGGCAAGAGCAAGCCCAGGGCGGCACTACTAGTCCAGCCACTGGGAGAGGCCACAAGGCCAGTCTGGGTAAAATATATATATAAAGGACAGTACAAAGTCAAGGCCCTAGCAAGTGAGAGTCTACAGGAACGAGACCCAACTGTACACAGTGCCGCTAATGATCTTTAGGCGCAAGCGCCTTCGTAAAGATATCAGCTGTGTTGGCACCGGAGGCCAAGTGTACTACGCGAGCTTGGCGACGCTGCTGCAGCTCACGCAGGAGGAAGTACCGCAGCAGAATGTGCTTCGCTCTGCCCTCGAGTCGAGGCTCCTGACACAGGAGGATCATGGCCTTGTTGTTAGCGTACAGGACCGGGGCAGAGCTAGGCCGCTCACCTAAGTCTGTGAGCAAGAAGGTCAGCCAGCGGAGCTCCTGTGCCGCCATGGCACCGGCGTAGACCTCGGCCTCACAGCTGGACTGGGCAACAGACGAGGAGCGGGTAGCTCTCCACGAGACGGCACCTGAACCAAGGCTGAAGCAGTAGCCCTGTGAGGACCTGAGGGTCACGGCGTCATCTGCCCAAGAAGCGTTTGTGTGTCCAGTAAGGACCACTAGCCTACGTCCTCCTAGCACTAACCCCATGCCCGATGTACTTGCAAGATAACGCAAAACCCTCTTAGCGGCAGACCAGTGCTGAGGTCGGTGTCTGCCTGTAGCCACAAAGCGAGCCAAGATGCTGAGAGGGTATGCGAGATCTGGGCGCGTGCAAGTAATCAGGTACATGAGGCAACCCACCAGCTCTGCGTAAGGACCACTGGGCTCTGCTGACTCCTCAGGAACTGGAGCGGAGAGTCTGTGGTCTAGAGGCAGAGGAGTAGGTTGTGCGGAGGAGAACTGAAGGCCGAACCTCTGAAGAACCTGACGCACCAAGTGTGACTGAGTCAAAGTGATGGTGCGGGCTGCTCTGTCCTTGGAGATCTGCAATTTTTTGTTTTGTTTTTTTTATTGTTTTTGTTTTTTTGTTTTTTTGGGCTTTAAGGAGATCCCAGGAGGAAACCAGGCCCCCTTTCCCACACCGATCCACCGGCGAGCCCCTGGGGGAAACCCCCTAGCGCCCGAGACTCCAAGCCAAGCCAAGGTAGTAGCGCAATTCTCCAAGGTCAGTGCAGGTGTGTCTCTTCAGCAGCTCTGCCTTCACGGAGGCCAGTGCGTCCCTGTCTGCCGTGGCAAAGACCACGTCTTCTACGTAAACAAGGATGCAGAACGGAGTTTGGCCAGCACGAACGAAGAGCGAGGGGTCTACAGAGGACGGAAAGAACTGCAGGTCAGCAAGCGTAGCACGCAGCATATCGTGCCACTCACGGGGAGCTTGCCGCAGGCCGTAGACGGGGCGCCGGAGGAGCCACTGGGTCCCAGGAGGGAAGGTACCAGTGAAGCCCTGAGGGTGACACAGGTAGACCTGCTCGTGTAGACTGCCCTGAAGAAACGCAGCGGAGAAGTAGAGGGAGTGGAGCTTGTAGTCATGCTGCGCTGCTACGTGTAGTAGCACCCGAAGAGTAGTCATCTTCGGGGTCGGAGCGAAGGTCTGGAAGAAGTCCACCCCCTAACGCTGACTGAAACCTCTAGCCACGTAGCGCGCCTTGAAGACAGGCGGCTCTCCAGGGGGGCGCTTCACCTTGAAGAGCCTGCGGCCATCGACTACGTTCACCCCAGGTGGGGGAACTGCGTCGACGTAGGTGCCGGTGGATCTCCAAGATGCCATCTCCTGCTCCATGGCAGCTATCCACTGAGAGGACCAGGGTCCCGAAACCGCCTCAGTGTAAGTGCGAGGGGTCGGGATGTCGAAAGCGTCGGGGGTCACCCTCAGGGACTAGAAGCATGGAACAGAGATGGGGAGCAGCCTCGGACAGGAAAGCAAGCTCGAACTGGCGGTCCTCCAGGACGTCACTGCCAAGGGCAGTAGCACCCCCGACAGACGGAGGACAGGCAGGGTCAGAGACCAGAGCGGTGGCGTAGTCAAGGCGGCGGGTAGAGGCGAAGTTAGCAACCGCAACGACAAGAGCGCCAAGGCTCGAAACCGGAACAGACGGGTCGGTAACGAGAGAGGCAAGGACCCGAGGAACAAGAGGACGAGCGGCACGCAGGTAGTCAGATAGAGGGGGGGGAGCAACGACAAGGGAGGACGGAGGGGGCAATGGGAGAAGGGGAGGACGAGACGTGTGGGAACAAAGCAACATAGGGTGAGAGCGCGAGACAGGGGAGACAGGTCGAGCACGGGAGGGACGGCGAGACCAGACGTGAGACGGGGGAGTCGGGTCAGGAGACAGAGGAGGGGACACAGGAGGGAAATGAGGAGAGGAAACGGGTCGGAGACGCGTCCGGAGGAGGGAACACAGGGCCGGAGACTGGAGGAGGAGGAGGCACGGGCACGGGGTCAGGGGACAGAAGGCCGAGCAGGCGAAGAGCGGACACTGGCGGGGACTGCTGTGACGGCGGTGTGACGCCGATACCGGGACCGCAAGCTGCCGGGCGGCTACCTCCAGAACACTCCATCCCAGCACCCTCAGAAGAAACACCCCCAGAACTCAGAACCCCTCGAGCACCGGTACCACCCCCAGGCCCGCCGGGACAAGCCACGACAGGAGTCCCAGGACTAGTACCCACCCTAACTCCAGCACCCCCAGAGGCAACCAACTGCTGCGGCGACGGCTGCGGCGACGGCGGTCGCAACGACGGCTGCGGCGACGGCGGCGGCGGTGACGACGACTGCGACAGCGGTGGTGACTGCGGCTGCGGAGGCGGCGGAGGAGGGGCGGCGGAGAAGGGGCAGGCGGCGCAGGACTACCAGAGTCAGTAGACTCCTCAACCGGTACAACCGACGTAAGTGGGGTGACGTGGGACAGACCAGAGGGGGCAGGACGGGGAGGGGGAGGAGGAGGGGTGGCGACGACCGGGGAAGGGTGACCAGGAATAGGGGGGGGGTAACCGGGGGACCTCGGTGGGGGAAGCGGCGGAAGAAGGAGACGGACTCGTCAAAGGTGACGTCACGGGAGTGAAAGAATCTGTGAGACGGCGGGTGGTAGAAGTGCCAGTCAGACGCGTCAAGGAGGAAACCGAGGAAGACACATGGAAGGGTGCGGGCAGTGAGCTTGTCCGTGCCAGAGGCACGAACGTGAGCAAGACAGCCCCAGACGTGGAACGCAGATGCGTCACCAGGTGACCCAGACCAAAGGAGGGTCGGCGAAACCTGTGGCTGCTGGGGGTGCGGCCACTAGTTAAGTTGGTGAGCGGCGTAGCGAACGGCGAACGGCCACAGAAAATGGGGTGCACCGGCATGGATCATGGAGGTGCGAGCCACCTCCATGACCAAACCGATGCGTCGCTCAGCAATCCCATTCTGTTGCGGGGAGTCCGGCAAGTTGAACGTCTGGGTGATGCCCTCCGCACGACAAAACGACCAAGGACACCAGAGGCAAACTCGCCACCACGGTCGGAGTGGAGGCGCAAGACAGGGAGACCGCGACGGACACGCACAGCGACAAGCCACGGGATAAGAACGTCAGGCACGTCGGCCTTCCGCTCCAGGGGGAACACAGTGGTGTAGCGCGTGTAGTCATCGACAAGCACTAGGAAGTAGCGCTCTCGACGCGGCCCATGGACGGGGGCGGGGCCCCAGACGTCCATGTGCAGAGTCTGTAGCGGTACGGCGGTAGGGGGAAACGAGGAGGAGTGAGGAGCACGGCGAAGCCGGCCCTCGACACAAGGCGTGCAAGGTGGGGCAGGGGAGGAGGGAAACTCAGAGAACGACCGGGGGAGGCCTAGGACGAGACCGTGCTGTGACATGTGACGCAGACGCGGGAGCGCAGGGTGACCTACAGGAGCAGGCAGCAGCAACCTGGGTAGACGCAGCCACCTGAGGGGGGGTCCCAGCCGGGGGGGTCACGGTGTCCAGTGTGAACAGTAGGACACCGGGTCCCGGGGGAACGTGGTAAGGGGGGCACCAGTGGCGGCCTCGGTACAGACAGCGTACCGCTCGTGACCAGGGAATGTAGTGGTGACGCCAAGGTCCTGGAGGCAGCCG